CCTGCCAGCCGCAGTAGGCCGCCACACCCGCCACGACTGCGAGCATCTTGCTTGCCTTTGCCATGGCAAAGATGATGAGAAGGCTCTTGGCTATTGCTCTCGCGGCTTTCGTACTCAAAAGCTGACATGCAGACACTTATCAACGGAGCAAGCCAAGGCACGCTTCTTGCCAAGCGATTGCTCTCTCTCTCTCCCCTCTCCCTGGCATAACATGAAGGCCAGTCACACCTCCAGGGCGGCGGTGTAGGTGACCCCGTTGGGCGCCAGCCGCAGGACACGCAGGCGCCTGCGGCGCTGTGGGTCTCAGTTTCTGCGTTTCTGCTTGAAATGCAACTGGAAACTGGAAAAAACTGCAATCAGGAGAGGCCGATCCAGGAAACCAGCAAAAGGCAACTTGAGAGAGGGGTGGACGAAAGCTAGCAACACGCGGCTTTTGCCGCCATAAAAGAACGCAGGCTTGGTTGAACCTCGAAAGCAGAACGGCTCATTTCCGACGCCCAAAAGACCAGGTGTTCTCTTCGAGTCCAAAGGTCAGATGTAAGTTTCTTCTGGATCAGGGGCCCATGGCTCGTTCGAGTCGACGCCTCGCGACCAAACTTATTCGTTAACGAAATGAAGCCCCGCCACGTCCAGGCCGCAGCGGCTGGCGCGCATCTCACCCAGCAGTGCCAGCACCGCCGGCGCGCGGCCGCAGGCCTGCCACAACGGCTCCGGACAATGGGGGGAGGGCTGGCAAGGGAAACCAAGAGAAACCAGGCAGAAATTCGGGGGAAACCCTGAAAATTGCCAGGGGATGTTCTGAAAGCGACCCTTAAAAGCTGCATTCTGGGCTCAAAACCAGGGGTTGTCAAGGCTGGGCCATGATGGGTGTGCACTTGGATTGGAACGAATGTCCTTTCTTGGCTTCCACGGACAGCCGATCTTCTCAAAACGATCCTGTTCAAGCAGTTAGGCTTTTACCTGCGGGAGGCGGGAGGTATTGGCAACATACTCGTGGTTCTGTGTGTGTGGCTCCCTTGCAAATACTAACATTGCTGTAAGGTGGTGGATTGCACCTCGACCATTCAGCGAAAGCCCAAAGCCAAGGACTGCTCCAGTGCGGCTTCAGCCCCAAACCCTGGCATCTCACGGAACTTCCGTTCAAGTACACAACGCTCCAGCCGTCGCGAACAAGCTGTCGCCAACAAGACCCGCCTCTTTTACACAAGACCCTTCAAAGGACCCTTCAAAAGGGCACTGCAATGTCCTTCATATAAAACTGTCAGAGAGTGCCTTGATAAAATGTTTGCAATTGTCTGAATCAGCCGAATGCCTGAGAACTGAGTCTCAGGCCGGGCGGGCTCAGACTACCAAGAAGCTATACAAACTGCAAGAGCAAGGCCCCACTCAGCGCTGAGAAGCCTTCACCACATCCTTGAACTCCAGGAATGCCTTATAGGCCGCCTTGGCGTCCTCAGCGTTCACCTTGGACATCATGTAAGGGCCCACATCATTGCCCAAGCTGAACTTGTTGAAGGCGTTGTACACGTCCATGGTCTTGGAGGCCGGCACGGACGCAATCATGTGGCCAATGGCGGCGTTGGTGGCCGTGTAGTCCTCAAGGGTGGTCACCCCCTTGCTGTCAACGCGCCCGATCGCCTCGCTGTGGGCCAACACTCCAGCCTTCAGAGCCGCGGGGTCCATCGCGGCGCCCATGACCAACATAGAATCGATCGCCTTCAGCACCTCCAAGGGCTTGGCAGTGGGCAGAACGCCATAGACGCCGTCAGTCCAGTCGATCTCCTGAATGGAACGTGTAATGATGCTTCTGACGGACAGCCATTCACATGCGAAGACGTTTGCCGCCAAAAGAATCAGTCCTAAGTCCCTCAACAATAAAACAAGAGCTGGAAGAACAAACAAATGAAGATCGACTGCCAGGCATTGTGAAGCGGCAACTGTTGGACGGCATCTGGCAGCCTTCACAAAACAGGGAGCATCAAACAGACTCCTAAAAGGTTCAATCAACATCTCACCCAGAGGTCCAAAGTTGGGCTAGAGGAAGCTTCTTTCAAGCCATGATGGGCCGGTGATCATGCTCAGCAATCCTTCAAGAATGGGTAAGACTTCTCTGATAGAACCTTGGCCGCATCATCTTGTCCGCGTAAGCCGGCGTTGTGCCCAGCATGGCAGCGGCGCCAGCCGCCGTGGCGATCGGCACGTGTCGGCCAGCAGGGGGCACGAATGCACCCTGCCAGCCGCAGTAGGCCGCCACACCCGCCACGACTGCGAGCATCTTGCTTGCCTTTGCCATGGCAAAGATGATGAGAAGGCTCTTGGCTATTGCTCTCGCGGCTTTCGTACTCAAAAGCTGACATGCAGACACTTATCAACGGAGCAAGCCAAGGCACGCTTCTTGCCAAGCGATTGCTCTCTCTCTCTCCCCTCTCCCTGGCATAACATGAAGGCCAGTCACACCTCCAGGGCGGCGGTGTAGGTGACCCCGTTGGGCGCCAGCCGCAGGACACGCAGGCGCCTGCGGCGCTGTGGGTCTCAGTTTCTGCGTTTCTGCTTGAAATGCAACTGGAAACTGGAAAAAACTGCAATCAGGAGAGGCCGATCCAGGAAACCAGCAAAAGGCAACTTGAGAGAGGGGTGGACGAAAGCTAGCAACACGCGGCTTTTGCCGCCATAAAAGAACGCAGGCTTGGTTGAACCTCGAAAGCAGAACGGCTCATTTCCGACGCCCAAAAGACCTGGTGTTCTCTTCGAGTCCAAAGGTCAGATGTAAGTTTCTTCTGGATCAGGGGCCCATGGCTCGTTCGAGTCGACGCCTCGCGACCAAACTTATTCGTTAACGAAATGAAGCCCCGCCACGTCCAGGCCGCAGCGGCTGGCGCGCATCTCACCCAGCAGTGCCAGCACCGCCGGCGCGCGGCCGCAGGCCTGCCACAACGGCTCCGGACAATGGGGGGAGGGCTGGCAAGGGAAACCAAGAGAAACCAGGCAGAAATTCGGGAGAAACCCTGAAAATTGCCAGGGGATGTTCTGAAAGCGACCCTTAAAAGCTGCATTCTGGGCTCAAAACCAGGGGTTGTCAAGGCTGGGCCATGATGGGTGTGCACTTGGATTGGAACGAATGTCCTTTCTTGGCTTCCACGGACAGCCGATCTTCTCAAAACGATCCTGTTCAAGCAGTTAGGCTTTTACCTGCGGGAGGCGGGAGGTATTGGCAACATACTCGTGGTTCTGTGTGTGTGTACCTGTTGAACTGTTGCGTTGCTTTCCTTTGAATGTTGTCCATGGCCTTGGTGTGGCTCCCTTGCAAATACTAACATTGCTGTAAGGTGGTGGATTGCACCTCGACCATTCAGCGAAAGCCCAAAGCCAAGGACTGCTCCAGTGCGGCTTCAGCCCCAAACCCTGGCATCTCACGGAACTTCCGTTCAAGTACACAACGCTCCAGCCGTCGCGAACAAGCTGTCGCCAACAAGACCCGCCTCTTTTACACAAGACCCTTCAAAGGACCCTTCAAAGGGGCACTGCAATGTCCTTCATATAAAACTGTCAGAGAGTGCCTTGATAAAATGTTTGCAATTGTCTGAATCAGCCGAATGCCTGAGAACTGAGTCTCAGGCCGGGCGGGCTCAGACTACCAAGAAGCTATACAAACTGCAAGAGCAAGGCCCCACTCAGCGCTGAGAAGCCTTCACCACATCCTTGAACTCCAGGAATGCCTTATAGGCCGCCTTGGCGTCCTCAGCGTTCACCTTGGACATCATGTAAGGGCCCACATCATTGCCCAAGCTGAACTTGTTGAAGGCGTTGTACACGTCCATGGTCTTGGAGGCCGGCACGGACGCAATCATGTGGCCAATGGCGGCGTTGGTGGCCGTGTAGTCCTCAAGGGTGGTCACCCCCTTGCTGTCAACGCGCCCGATCGCCTCGCTGTGGGCCAACACTCCAGCCTTCAGAGCCGCGGGGTCCATTGCGGCGCCCATGACCAACATCTTGTCGATCGCCTTCAGCACCTCCAAGGGCTTGGCAGTGGGCAGAACGCCATAGACGCCGTCAGTCCAGTCGATCTCCTGAATGGAACGTGTAATGATGTTTCTGACGGACAGCCATTCACATGCGAAGACGTTTGCCGCCAAAAGAATCAGTCCTAAGTCCCTCAACAATAAAACAAGAGCTGGAAGAACAAACAAATGAAGATCGACTGCCAGGCATTGTGAAGCGGCAACTGTTGGACAGCATCTGGCAGCCTTCACAAAACAGGGAGCATCAAACAGACTCCTAAAAGGTTCAATCAACATCTCACCCAGAGGTCCAAAGTTGGGCTAGAGGAAGCTTCTTTCAAGCCATGATGGGCCGGTGATCATGCTCAGCAATCCTTCAAGAATGGGTAAGACTTCTCTGATAGAACCTTGGCCGCATCATCGATCTTGTCCGCGTAAGCCGGCGCTGTGCCCAGCATGGCCGCGGCGCCGGCCGCCGTGGCGATCGGCACGTGTCGGCCAGCAGGGGGCACGAATGCACCCTGCCAGCCGCAGTAGGCCGCCACACCCGCCACGACTGCGAGCATCTTGCTTGCCTTTGCCATGGCAAAGATGATGAGAAGGCTCTTGGCTATTGCTCTCGCGGCTTTCGTACTCAAAAGCTGACATGCAGACACTTATCAACGGAGCAAGCCAAGGCACGCTTCTTGCCAAGCGATTGCTCTCTCTCTCCCCTCTCCCTGGCATAACATGAAGGCCAGTCACACCTCCAGGGCGGCGGTGTAGGTGACCCCGTTGGGCGCCAGCCGCAGAACACGCAGGCGCCTGCGGCGCCGTGGGTCGCAGGTTCTGCGCTTCTGCTTGAAATGCAACTGGAAACTGGAAAAAACTGCAATCAGGAGAGGCCGATCCAGGAAACCAGCAAAAGGCAACTTGAGACAGGGGTGGACGAAAGCTAGCAACATGCGGCTTTTGCCGCCATAAAAGAACGGCAGCAGTCCACGTGATAGCAGCCCGGACAAAGCCTCAATTTTTCCTGCGCGGTTTAAGGCGCCATGGAAGCCAGAACGGCAAGCCAGAGACGGAAGAAGCGTGGAAGGTGAGGAAGTGGAGCAAGATGACATGATCTCCAGGCGCGCCTGGCCAACGGGAAGCACTGAGCCTGGTGAAGGACAAGAGCATCTACACGAAGGTCAGGCTTTATGCTCAGGTGAAAGGCAGTGATAGTGGCATGAAGGCCGAGCCCGCGCAAGAGCCAGAGCATGAACGTCAAGCTCCACGCACCTGGCTGGAGGTGGTCCGGCAACCAGACGATGAGTTGAAGTCCCGACAAGAACTGCAGTCTCCTACACAAGGCACCCGGAACTGCACTACACAGGCACCCGGAACACTGCTCTGCACCAAGCACCCGGAACAGCGCGCTTGGAACATGACTGGACAAGGCAGCTCTACACCGAAACACCAGTACACCAGCTACACCAAGCACCACGAACAGCACTGAACCAGGCACCCGGAGCAGCACACCACGCACTGCACCCGCAGCGCTACACCACAGAACTACACCAGCATCTGCAACCAGCAAGCACTTGGAACAGCACACCCGGAACAGCACCACCAAGCACCCGGAACAGCACGACACCAAGCACCTGGAACAGCAATACCACCAAGCACCCCACACCACACCAAGCACCCGGAACAGCACCACACCAATAACCCAGAACAGCACTCCCAGAACAGCACGAATGCCAGGCACCTGCAACAGCACGGAGCAGCGCTGAAAGCTCTGGGAACAGCACTACACCACGCACCCGGAACAGCCCGAAACAGCACTGCAAGCACGAGCACAACACCAAGCCAGAACAGCACTACACCAGGAACCGCACTACACCGAGCACCCAGAACAAGCACACCACACCAAGCACCCGGGACTACACCACCCCACAACAGCACTACCCCAAGGCACCCAGAACAGACACCACTACACCAAACACACCTGGAACCGCACTGCCAAGCACTACGAGGCACCCAGAACAGCACTACACCATGCTGAGAGGACTACAACCCCACATCACACCCGGAACAGCACGACACCCAGTACCCGGACAAGCACTAACACCAGGCACCCGAACTACTACTACGCCGGCACCCCTACACAAGGCGGAACACGGCACTACACCAAGCACGACACCGGGTGTAGCGCTGCTCAATGTAGTGTCCGGGTGCTTGGTGCAGCGCTGTTCCGCGTGTGCCTTGTGTAGCGCTGTTCCGGGCGGTTGGTGTAGCGATGGTGCAGCGCTGTTCCGGGTGCTTGGTGCAGCGCTGTTCCGGTGTTCCGGGTACTTGGCGTATGGGTGCTTCGTAGTGCTGTTCCGGGTGCTTGGTGTAGCGCTTGTCCAGGTGCCTGGCGTAGGGCTGTTCCGGCTCTTGGCGCCCGGAACAGCACTACCAAGCACCCGTTCAACCCGGAACAGGAACAGCACTACACCAAGCAGCCGGAACAGCACGGCACCAGGCACCTGGAACAGCACTACGGCCAGGCACCCGGAACAGCACTACACCAAGCACCCGGAACAACCACTACACCAGGCACCCGGAAGAGCGCTACACCAAGCACCTCCAAGCACCTGGAACAGCACGACACCAAGCATCCGGAACACTGCGTGCATAACAGTGGCGGCGCCAGCGTGCATGTTCAAGAGCGCCTTGGTCAACTCTAGAACAAGAGAAAACAAGTGAACCCCCAAACTGAGCGCGCCGGCCTCTCGCGGCATAGAAGGTTCTGGCTAGGAGAGCAGAAGCAGGCTGGTGCGCTGGCAGTTGGCAAGCCTGAGGCCGAAAACCAACGGACCCTGGCAAATCCATGTTGTATCACCAGATGACTTTCTGGCATCCCTAGAGTTGACGTTTGGCCGGCTTCAATTGTGTTCTGCAAAGGGTTCCCCTGCGCGGAAAGGATTGTTACACCTCAATAGATCTTCTGCCAACTCGCCAGTGTCTGGTTCCCCGGATCCATGCTGTCTGCCGGTTTCGACAATCACAAACTCGCAAACGCCTGGCCATTGTGAAGCGGAAACTCGGCCTTTTCGGCAACAGCACATCTGACATATAAAAAAAGAGGAAAACCATGCCGGCAAAGAACTGGGCAAACTGCGGAAGACATCGCACAGGCAGCCTGACTGTATGCCAGCATGCAATGTGTTAAATCAAAGGGTTCCTTCTCTCGTGAGCCCTAACCTTTCGGAGTCCTGATATACAAAAAGAGGCGGAGGATGCCAATAAGGAAAGGGGCAGGGGACATTCGCGGATTCGACGTCATGAACAGGGTGCCCTCTGTTGGGCCTTTCTGTGAAAACAAACACGGCAATCTTGTCAATGTTAGTGAATGTATGTTCAATCCACTCAAGGTCTTCCTGCGCGCAAATGCGTTGCTTCACATCCAGGCCTAGATGGGCTTCCCTTCAAAACCCTCTGGCGGGGCGGCAAACCCGCGCGGACTCATTTCGGAAAGCCAACCCCGAGCGGGGATTTCACGGAAAGGCCCCGGAACCTGCTAGGCCAACGGCTCCAAGCCGGGAGCCTCCGTTCAAAAACCACGTGACAGCTCAACTGAAAAGTGCCCCTCGGTTGCATTCCAGGGAGTCCCCCCCGACAGGTCGATGGGCAAAACAGGCAGAGGGCCGATTTCGCCAAAGGCGCCGCTCCAGCGCGGAGGGATCTCCGGCCTCGCGGGCCTCGGCCTGGGAATACGCCGCCTGCCCGGAGCACGCATGCGGGGGTTCAGGGGTTGTTCGTCGGGAGGGATCGAGCCGTCTTGGTCGCCTTGTGGCCATCGATGGCAAACCCACGATGGATGGAAAAACGCTTTGAAAAGGCCGGGAGATGCAAACAGACCGGTGAATTGGACACTGCACTGGAGCCAAAGATTTGTAGGCGCCAGAGGGGGACAATCGGAGCAGGATCTGGCACCAAAGAAACCCCTCCCCTGGTTGCGGGAGATTGGAGGCTAACCCCCATGTCTCCAGACTAGCGATAGACTACCAATGTTGGTTCGCTCAGCTGCCCTTTGTTCTGAGTAGTCGGTGAACCGCTGCCAGAAGTGCCAAGGATGCCGTCGTGAGATGGACTGAGCGAGAAATGGCCTCGGTTTATCTTTTCGCCTCTCATAGATTCCAGCTAAACAAAGAAGTGTTATCTGCACATTGGAAAAGCTCGCATCTTACTGCCACTAAGTATAAGCTGGGGCCGCTTCCTGCCCTTTCCATCATATCCGTTTGGCAAGGGGCCTGAACTCAAGCGAAGCCGCCTTGTTTTGGCGCTCATGTTTACAGCTTACCATCAACCATGATTGACATGGATGTCGTCCCATTGGCTCCAGGAGGAATTTGGGTCCAACTCCAAATCCAAACCGCAGACTAAGGCTAGTCTGGTGGTTAGCTTCATCCGTCACTTACACATCACTCACCCCGATCTCTTTGTGCCTCCCTCCAGCTGTACCCCACCTGATTTCGCAAAGAAACTCCATCAAAGACCTACTGCAAACCATGGAACCCGATTCCATGTGATGCTTGCCCAAAAGGAGCGTCTAAACACGGATCGGTGTTTTGTGGGTTCCACAGTTCCACGTTTGGGTGGATCTGCTTTTGCTGAACCCCCTGTCGCTTGCTTTGAATGGGAAGCCAAAAGGGCATCAACCTTCAACGGAGATGCCTACACCAGGGTGAAAGCGGATGACACAATTCCCCTTATGTTAGCAAGGGCCATTGATGAAAACGAAATAGAGGGGAATGCTCCACCCAGCTACAATAAGCCTCTGGTTGAAATTAAAGTATTACGGGGTATCTCTTTTTTGAGAGGATCCTTCACCTTCCGAACGCTCAATCAATATGAAGAAGCACAGGCTTAGTTGAACCTTGAAAGCAGAACGGCTCATTTCCGACGCCCAAAAGACCAGGTGTTCTCTTCGAGTCCAAAGGTCAGCTGTAAGTTTCTTCTGGATCAGGGGCCCATGGCTCGCTCGAGTCGACGCCTCACGACCAAACTTGTTCGTTTAACGAAACGAAGCCCCGCCACGTCCAGGCCGCAGCGGCGGACATCTCACCCAGCAGCGCCAGCATCGCCGGCGCGCGGCCGCAGGCCTCCTAAAGTGCCACACTTGCTCCGGGCAATGGGGGGGGGGGGGGGGGGGCGGGCAAGGGAAACCAAGGGGCTGGCAAGGGGGGCTGGCAAGGGCTATGATGGGTGTGCACTTGGATTGGAACGAATGTCCTTTCTTGGCTTCCACGGACAGCCGATCTTCTCAAAACGATCCTGTTCAAGCAGTGGGGCTTTTACCTGCGGGAGGCGGGAGGTATTGGCAACATACTCGTGGTTCAGTGTGTGTGTGTGTGAACCTGTTGAACTGTTACGTTGCTTTCCTTTGGATGTTGTCCGGCCTTGGTGTGGCTCCCTTGCAAATACTAACATTGCTGTAAGGCGGTTGATTGCACCTCGACCATTCAGCGAAAGCCCAAAGCCGAGGACTGCTCCAGTGCGGCTTCAGTACGGAACTTCCGTTCAAGTACACAACGCTCCAGCCGTCGCGAACAAGCTGTCGCCAACAAGACCCGCCTCTTTTACACAAGACCCTTCAAAGGACCCTTCAAAAGGGCACTGCAATGTCCTTCATATAAAACTGTCAGAGAGTGCCTTGATAAAATGTTTGCAATTGTCTGAATCAGCCGAATGCCTGAGAACTGAGTCTCAGGCCGGGCGGGCTCAGACTACCAAGAAGCTATACAAACTGCAAGAGCAAGGCCCCGCTCAGCGCTGAGAAGCCTTCACCACATCCTTGAACTCCAGGAATGCCTTGTAGGCCGCCTTGGCGTCCTCAGCGTTCACCTTGGACATCATGTAAGGGCCCACATCCTTGCCCAAGCTGAACTTGTTGAAGGCGTTGTACACGTCCATGGTCTTGGAGGCCGGCACGGACGCAATCATGTGGCCAATGGCGGCGTTGGTGGCCGTGTAGTCCTCAAGGGTGGTCACCCCCTTGCTGTCAACGCGCCCGATCGCCTCGCTGTGGGCCAACACTCCAGCCTTCAGAGCCGCGGGGTCCATCGCGGCGCCCATGACCAACATAGAATCGATCGCCTTCAGCACCTCCAAGGGCTTGGCAGTGGGCAGAACGCCATAGACGCCGTCAGTCCAGTCGATCTCCTGAATGGAACGTGTAATGATGTTTCTGACGGACAGCCATTCACATGCGAACACGTTTGCCGCCAAAAGAATCAGTCCTAAGTCCCTCAACAATAAAACAAGAGCTGGAAGAACAAACAAATGAAGACCGACTGCCAGGCATTGTGAAGCGGCAACTGTTGGATGGCATCTGCCAGCCTTCACAAAACAGGGAGCATCAAACAGACTCCTAAAAGGTTCAATCAACATCTCACCCAGAGGTCCAAAGTTGGGCTAGAGGAAGCTTCTTTCAAGCCATGATGGGCCGGTGATCATGCTCAGCAATCCTTCAAGAATGGGTAAGACTTCTCTGATAGAACCTTGGCCGCATCATCGATCTTGTCCGCGTAAGCCGGCGCTGTGCCCAGCATGGCCGCGGCGCCGGCCGCCGTGGCGATCGGCTCGTGTCGGCCAGCAGGGGGCACGAATGCACCCTGCCAGCCGCAGTAGGCCGCCACACCCGCCACGACTGCGAGCATCTTGCTTGCCTTTGCCATGGCAAAGATGATGAGAAGGCTCTTGGCTATTGCTCAAGCGGCTTTCGTACTCAAAAGCTGACATGCAGACACTTATCAACGGAGCAAGCCAAGGCACGCTTCTTGCCAAGCGATTGCTCTCTCTCTCCCCTCTCCCTGGCATAACATGAAGGCCAGTCACACCTCCAGGGCGGCGGTGTAGGTGACCCCGTTGGGCGCCAGCCGCAGAACACGCAGGCGCCTGCGGCGCCGTGGATCTCAGTTTCTGCTTGGAGTGCAACTGGAAACTGGAAAAAACTGCAATCAGGAGAGGCCGATCCAGGAAACCAGCAAAAGCCAACTTGAGAGAGGGGTGGACGAAAGCTAGCAACACGCGGCTTTTGCCGCCATAAAAGAACGGCAGCAGTCCACGTGATAGCAGCCCGGACAAAGCCTCCATTTTTCCTGCGCGGTTTAAGGCGCCATGGAAGCCAGAATGGCAAGGCAGAGACGGAAGAAGCGAAGGTGAGCAAGAGGAGCAAGATGAAATGATCTCCAGGTGGCGCGCCCGGCATTGCGGTCGGCCAACGGTAAGCACTGAGCCTGGTGAAGGACAAGAGCATCTACACGAAGGTCAGGCTTTATGCTCAGGTGAAAGGCAGTGATAATGGCATGAAGGCCGAGCCCGCGCAAGAGCTACAGCATGAACGTCAAGCTCCACGGGCCTGGCTGGAGGTGGTCAGGCAACCAGACGATGAGTTGAAGTCCCGACAAGAACTGCTTTCTGCACCCGGAACTGCACTACACAAGCACCCGGAACACTGCACTGAACCAAGCACCCGGAACAGCGCGCTTGGAACATGACTGGACAAGGCAGCTCTACACCGAAACACCAGTACACCAGCTACACCAAGCACCGCGAAAAGCACTGAACCAGGCACCCGGAACAGCCCGAAACAGCACTGCAAGCACGAGCACAACACCAAGCCAGAACAGCACTACACCAGGAACCGCACTACACCAAGCACCCAGAACAAGCACACCACACCAAGCACCCGGGACTACACCACCCCGCAACAGCACTACCCCAAGGCACCCAGACCAGACACCACTACACCAGACACCTGGAACCGCACTGCCAAGCACTACGAGGCACCCAGAACAGCACTACACCATGCTGAGAGGACTACAACCCCACATCACACCCGGAACAGCACGACACCCAGCACCCGGAACAGCACTAACACCAGGACCCGAACTATTACTACGCCAGCACCCCTACACAAGGCGGAACACGGCACTACACCAAGCACGACACCGGGTGTAGTGCTGCTCAATGTAGTGTCCGGGTGCTTGGTGCAGCGCTGTTCCGCGTGTGCCTTGTGTAGCGCTGTTCCGGGCGGTTGGTGTAGCGATGGTGCAGCGCTGTTCCGGGTGCTTGGTGCAGCGCTGTTCCGGTGTTCCGGGTACTTGGCGTATGGGTGCTTCGTAGTGCTGTTCCGGGTGCTTGGTGTAGCGCTTGTCCAGGTGCCTGGCGCAGGGCTGTTCCGGCTCTTGGCGCCCGGAACAGCACTACCAAGCACCCGTTCAACCCGGAACAGGAACAGCACTACACCAAGCAGCCGGAACAGCACGGCACCAGGCACCTGGAACAGCACTACGGCCAGGCACCCGGAACAGCACTACACCAAGCACCCGGAACAACCACTACACCAGGCACCCGGAAGAGCGCTACACCAAGCACCTCCAAGCACCTGGAACAGCACGACACCAAGCATCCGGAACACGACTACACAAGGCACCCGGAACAGCACTACACCACGTTAAGTTGAGGTCTTTCGAATCTTGCCGGGAATATAGCTCTTGATCTGAGTTTGGCCGCGGAGATGGACACGAGGGTTGCAGCAGCGCAAATCACGTCGCATGCCGGGGGTAGGCGAAGGAGGCAGGGGAGCACGTGATGAGCGCAACTGGGTTTGCAAGCGCGTGCGTGCATAACAGTGGCGGCGCCAGCGTGCATGTTCAAGAGCGCCTTGGTCAACTCTAGGACCCTAGAAAACAAGTGAACCCCCAAACTGAGCGCGCCGGCCTCTCGCGGCATAGAAGGTTCTGGCTAGGAGAGCAGAAGCAGGCTGGTGCGCTGGCAGTTGGCAAGCCTGAGGCCGAAAACCAACGGACCCTGGCAAATCCATGTTGTATCACCAGATGACTTTCTGGCATCCCTAGAGTTGACGTTTGGCCGGCTTCAATTGTGTTCTGCAAAGGGTTCCCCTGCGCGGAAAGGATTGTTACACCTCAATAGATCTTCTGCCAACTCTCCAGTGTCTGGTTCCCCGGATCCGTGCTGTCTGCCGGGTTCGACAATCACAAACTTGCAAACGCCTGGCCATTGCGAAGCGGAAACTCGGCCTTTTCGGCAACAGCACATCTGACATATAAAAAAGGAAAACCATGCCGGCAGAACTGGGCAAACACCGGAATTCAAGCAACTTGAAACCTCTTTGAAAGGGACTTTCACGGGGCCCATCTGAAACCCTGTCGCGACTTACTTTGCCCAGATTGAAGAAGCAAAGATTTGCGTTTGAACTAGTGCAACCGTAAATGCCAAATGAGAAGTTCTGCTTCTTCAGGTTGCAAAAAATTATACAACCATGGGTGTGTTCTTGTTTGAGCCTTCCCTTTTTTGGGATTGGTTCAGAGGGAAGTCAAGGGAACTTACCCACAGTGGTGCCATATTCGATGTAGAAAGAACACCATACTATAGCAATCCACACTATAATAGTTGCGTAAATATGTTCAACCCTTTAACAAGTTCATCAACTGTTTGGAATCAAAGTTTAATTGCACAATTAAATGTAACTAGTACTTTAAATATTTAGAATTTCGGTTTGAGAGAATACCTCATAAAACAAATACAGATATGATATTGAGAGATGAAGAATTGATAATATCAAGATTAGTAACAGGTATGACAAATATAAGCCAACAATGGATTATTATATGAAAGGGAAAATGAAGATCATAGTTGATTAAATGTCTTGTCTAGACATATATTGTGTAGATTGTTGGTTTGATTCTGTCACTTTGTTTACTGTGTTTACCTTGTTACCTGTGTGTTTCTTATCAGTAGGTACAGTCAAACGACAAAGTCATGCCTAAGTCACTCCTTTGTCTCTGTGACCATGTGTTCCCCCATGTAAACGCCGATTCCAAGAAGTCACTCCTAAGTCACACCTCGGCAACAATCCCCATGGAACGCTTGACATCACCGAGCTGATCATGCTAAAAAAAGAGGTGTCAACACTGAAACACACTGGAACGCAAATGATGGAAAAGCATGTTTTTCAGCCCCGCGAGGCTAAACCCCCCTAAACCCAACGGAGTAACAATTTTCAACTGCAATGCCTCCCAAAAGCCTATCTCTTCAAACATGTTGAGTTCCTATG